CTCGTTGGCTCTTTCATCTCGGCGACCTCCATGTCACATTCCGAACTGCCATGCAGGCCAAATACAGCCCAACCCAATTTTCATCCTTGACCTCGGACGAAGAGGTCCTCCTAGCGCGCCAGGGCTGGCAGGCGGAAGCCGTCGAGAACACCAACAGGGCGATGTTCCTCTCGAATCGACCGCGCTGGAAACACCTGGGAGGCGGCCATGAAGGCGACGTCTACCTCTTCAACAACTCCATCATCAAGGTCTTCAATGAAGGCAACAGCCCCTTACGCAACTGCGTTCCTGGTGCATCGCAGACGCGCTGGCCCACAGAGATCCCTGCCACCCTGCTGCTTGGCGGTCACGGTGACATGGAGCGTGAGAGCCTCAGCATACACGAAGAAGAGAGCGACCCCTTCAGCAGCATGTTCGTCCCCGTTCAGGACTATTTTCTCACCTCGCCCCGCGACCATGAACCCCCCAAGTGGCATCTCGTCACCCCCTTCCTGCGGGCTGGCACCGCCGAGAAGCTCGCTCACGACCTGAGCACGGCCCCGGAGCCCTTTGATCATCTTGAAATCGACCGCACATACCGTCCGGCCTTCAACGCTCTGCTCTCAGCCTTGGCGCACATGCACACTGCGCACAACCTGTGTCACGACGATGTCAAGCTCGACAATATCTTTATCGCCTCGAGAACAGATTCGACACGCTGGGTCTTCGCCGACCTGGGCAATGCCCGTCAGCCGGATCATCCGTACCATGCTTCGGCTTTGTGGACAGCAGATACGGATCAGCACAGGGACTGTCGGGTCAACGATGCCGTGCGTCTTACCAAGTCGTATCTACAGTTTGTGCGCGGTGCCGCCGCTGACCGCGCTGCTTTTGACGAAGCCTTCTTTCGGGGCGAGGCGCCGCTCAGCAGGCTCTATTGGAGCGTCGTCGGGGAGCCACCGGCGAAGGCAGCCGTGGGCGTTCGGGAGAGGTCGGTCATGTACGCGCCGTACGTGGACGGCTGGGAGGCGCCAGGAGCTGCGTTGCGGCTGCCCGAGTCGGCGAGGCCTCCTGCAGGCGCAGTCAGGGGGATTTTGGGGTTTTTCCTCGGCGCAGAGAACGCGGCGGCCGTCGACGTCTCACGGACTCTTCGGATTGGAGCAAACGAGAGGTTGGGTCGCGTGTTTGGGATGACGGGGCTCTTCGGGGTTCCGAAATCTGGGTGCGCTTGAAGGGGTGATTACACGATATTACGGCCGACACATGATACCCCTTTTTTGTATGGATGGATCTGAGTGCAACGCTCGTAAGTAGCACCCGAGCGACTGAGAACTTAGGTAGAGTTGATTCTCTTGCACTCCTATCTGCTCGCTATCAAAGTGACAAGGTGATTAAGATCAGGACAATGAGCGATCTGCATATTAAGCTTTGCTGATTCTTTAGGCCGCGGGTGCAGGTTGTATTTCTCCATTGTGTACAGTGACATTGTAGTGTAGATCCTGCACTGATGTCTTGAATAAATCTTCCGAGGTGGCCCGATTCATACTTTTCCCTTGAACGTTGTCGCCGTCGTCCCAAGGATTCGGCAACTCGAGGTGATAGACAAAGGTCATGGACTATATTCAGTAGTACGTGAGGTGGAATGCCGTTACTTCCGTCCTCGCGGTGCACGACCCCATACCATCTGTTGACGACATCATCGTGAACACGCAAGCAAGCACATACAAGGGTTTAAGCTTTAAAGAGACGGAGATGGCTCGGCTCGGGATTCGCCATATGGCGTGCACGTCGTCAAGGAAGTCTTCCCGCGCTGGGCATGGGCACCCGGCAGAGCAGGATACGAACTTTCCATCCATGGAAAAAAGGCAGCCGGCCACGGCTCTTACGGGATGAACCGCACCCTAAGGTTTTGCGTTCCGTGTCCTTGCCATACGCGAGATGTCAAACTTGCGCCTCGCAAACCTTAATCGGGGGCCCCAAAGGATGCGCAACAAGGTTTGGTGTTCGGCGGTATTCAGATGACAGCATCTCCTAGCGTGACGGCGAGCTGGGTCTGCCCGGCTAGCACGGCAAGTTGGCCATGCCCGTCGACGCCAGCCGGGGCCCGGCAGCCCGGCGTGACTTGGTAGGCCGATCAGCAAACCTCCGCGATATACCTAGGTACCCTTGCAAACGAACTGCCAGGGTCGGGGTCCCGGCGGGCCACGACGGAGGGGGCGTGATCGGTAACTTTCGTGTACCCCGGAGCAGCGGTATGTGGACGGGCTTACTTCTCCGCCCCTTTCCATACATGCATAGATCAGGTGCTGGACTGCGGGGGGGTTGGCAGTCCAAGGGAAGGAAGAGCGGTGATGGTTGCTGGGAGTGGCGGGATGGTCGACGAACAAGTGTGCGCCCACTTGGTCTGTTTCACCTCGACGCTGTTCCGTTCGGCTGGAGGCATATCGTGATGTGCATGCCAACATGCCGAGCTCCCAGGGTAAGGTAAGATGATTCGGAGTGCGAGGACCAAGTATAAAAGAGGGAGCAGACAGGACTTCATCAACCCCCTCGTGTAGGTGATAGTGCTTCAAGCTACCGAATCATCTGACTATCTTCGCAACATGAGATTCCAGAACGTCCTCGCTCGGGCCACGACCCTCGCCCTCGCGGGCCTCGCCGCCGCAGAGAAGCGCCAGACCCCTCCCAACGGCGCCATTGTCGTGGCACTCTCTGGCGGTGACTTCACCACGGTACGTAGCCGCAGCCCAGCAGAGCCTCGCAGAAAGCAGTCTCGCCTGGGTGACCGCCATGCTAACGAGAACCAACAGCTCCAAGACGCCGTGGACTCGATCAAGTCGTCCACGACGCCGTCGACCATCTTCATCAAGCCCGGCACCTACACGGGGCAGACGAAAATACCGAAGCTCGCGGCGGCGCTGACGATCCAGGGCTCGACGCCCGACCACCTCAACTACGCCCGGAACACGGTGGTCCTGACCAACGCGCTCTCGGCCGTCCAGGCCGGCAGCAACGACCTATCGGCGACGCTGAGCGCCAAGGCGCACGACCTGCGCGTCTACAACGTCAAGATCGACAACACGTTCCCCGTCGGCAAGCCGGGCAGCCAGTCGCAGGCGCTGGCGCTGTCGGCCAACGGCGAGCGGCAGGGCTACTACGGCGTGCAGCTGACGAGCTACCAAGACACGCTGTACGTCAACAAGCCGGGCCTCGTCTTCAAGGACAGTTACATCGAGGGCGCCATCGACTTCATATTTGGCAACAAAGGCAACGTCTGGATCGAGGACTGCGACATTGCCGTCGCCGGCAAGGGCTGGGTCACGGCCAGCGGGCGGTCCACGGCCGACAGCAACTGGTACGTCCTCAACAAGGCCAACATTACGGCCAAGAGCGGCGCCAACGTCGCCCCCGGCGCCAGCCTGCTCGGGCGCCCGTGGAAACAGTACGCGCGCGTTGTCGTGCAGAACTCGGCCCTCGGCAGCGTTATCGGCCCTGCCGGCTGGTCCACCTGGGGGAGCGACCCCGTCACCAATGTCTTTTTCGCCGAGTCCGGTAACACGGGCGACGGCGCCAGGGGCCCGAGAGTCACCTGGGCCAAGACGCTGGGCACGCCAAAGAAGATTGAGGACATCATGCCGGACTGGAAGTCGTGGGTTGACCAGGACTACTGGAATGCTTGAGCGTGGTGGTTCTTTGTCCATAGGTGTGGTTCTCACCGTTCATTGCGCAACGCGTGGTTTCATGCGTAGTCTTCCCGGAGAGAATACAAGTCAAACCTCGCAAATATACTTGATATTGTTCAGCGTCCAGTCCACAACATAGAGAAGACGATGGAAAGACACCGCAAAGCACAGGGTATATCCGTCTCGTTTGTTACACGCTCTTCCACATTTTTTTTCCACAGAGAAGGCTTCACTCCTTCTTCCCTCTCAGCCTCTCTCTCCCTCGTGGGCTCGAGATCGCGCCTCCTGCCTGACATGAGATCAATGTCCTCGAGGCGCCAGTATGTCGTCTTGTTCCACCACTTGTATCCAAAGTAGATGATGGCAAACAGCGGTAGGAGGATGTATGCATCGACAAAAGCCGCCGGCATCAAAAGGCGACAGATTCGTCCAGCCCTGCACAAGAGCCAGGAATATGTTGGCGCCGAGCCCAAAGTATGCGTTGTACGGGTACAGCAGCGACTTGAACGGCAGATCGGCCTCATTCAGATTCTGTGCCTTCCAGGCCTGGCGAAATCGAATGTGCACAAACGAGATGGAGCCCCAGACGAGGAACGTCGACACGCCGCTGAGGTTGACAATGTAACCGTACGCCTTGCCGGCACCGGTGCTGTTGTTCATCATGGACAGGGCGCCGCAGAGGTTGGTAAAGAGAATAGCGGGAATGGGAACACCGCGCTTGTTGGTCCAGCCGAGGATCTTGGGTGCCTTGCCGTCCTGACCCATGTAGAGCAGCGTGCGCGAGCCAATGTAGATTGAAGCGTTACAGGCGCTCAAGCAAGTGACGCAGATGAAGGCATTGATCAGGTGCACGCCACCCTGCCAGCCAGCATTCTGAATGGCGACCGTCATTGGGCTCTGCAGGGCCTTGGCATTGGCGTTGACGAGCATGTCCGAGTTGGCAGGGCAGGTGAGACCGAAGAAGATGGCCGAGCCCATGTAAATGAAGATGATGCGCCAGAAGACCTGGCGAATGGCGAGGGGCACGGCACGGCCAGGGTTCTTGGTCTCCGTGGCGGCCACAGCAACAGATTCAACGCCGGCGTAGAATGTCGAGCAGAAGACGAAAACAGTGGCCATGCCTCGGAAGCCATTGTTGTTCCATGGGCCGGGGTCGACCCAGTAGCGGTTGCCGAGGGCCTCCTGGCCGGGGATTCCACCGGAGACGTAGACGAGCGAGAAGAAGAAGTAAGCGACAAGGCCGATGAGCTTGAGCAGGGCGAGCCAGAACTCGGATTCGCCGAAGGATTCAACACCAAGCAATTGAAAGCCGGTAAAGGCAAACTGGTCGTATTAGCAAGACTGGCAGCGGTAGTGTGTTGACGGCTTTACGCACCCAGAACAGCAAGAAGTATCCCCAAAGAGGCACCTTGTCGCTCCAATAGACAAAGATGCTACACAGCGCATTGTACTCGTTGGCGAGCACGCAGAACCAGATGATGTAGTAGTTCCAGCCGATCGCGACACCAAAGGCCTTATCGACAAAGCGATCGCCCAGGGCCGTGAAGGCGCCGCCTGAGGGGTACAACGTTGTCATCTCGCCAAGACTCTGCATGATGCTGAAGGCCACGATGCCAATGACGCCAAAGCCAATGATCAGTGAAGCAGGACCACCGTTGGCGAGAGCACCGCCCGAACCGACGAGAAGGCCAGGCCCGATGATGCCAGCAAGGGCCATCATGCTGAGGTGGCGCGTCTTCAACCCGCGCTTGACGCCAGACTTGGGGTCGATGGCGTTGAAGTCATCGGAGCTGCTGTCTGTCTTGTCGGGGTGCGATTCGAGGGTGTGGTCTTCCACGGTAGGCGAAATGCCGTGGCCGTGACGGGCGCGTTCCTGTTGGGAAACGCCAAGGGCGGCGGCGGCGACGGCCGGGCCATCAGAAGCCGGCAGCGGCGTCGGGTGGTCATGCTGGACATGATAGTCCTTGCCGTCGTCATGGTGGGCCATGCTGGGCGACTGTCTCACGAAGCAGTCGTGGGGAATCAGTTAGGAATGCAAGGACAAGGCTTGCGAGGGAACGGGGAGGAGAAGAAAAGCTCGCAGAAAGGGTGATCAGCAGTGAAGAAGGGATCCTGATTTTAAATGTCGAGCTAGAATCTCGGTGCGAATGCGGCCTGGGCTGGCTGGCCTTGCGTCTTCGTCGGTACTTGGCGTGCCAGGGAGCCCAGGAGATCTTCTCCCACCGTTCCCCTACTTAGTGCAGGGCAGAGGCTGCAACACCCGCCACCGAAGCCGGCGCTACGGCTGACTAGCCGCGTGAATTCTGGAGACAGTTCAGAGACGCTGTGCCTGCCGTGTCTGGATGGGTGTCTGAGAAGACGAGTGGAGATTTGGCGGGGGTCAAGCTCAATCCCAAGCGTAGAGCAATACGCTGGGTGGCGATGGCGTGCTCAGGAATGTGCATCCCAGGCTAGTAAGGTTCGGATCGCGTCATGGGCGATGGCCGCGGGAGGCCCGAGTTCATTGGCCGTTGCCGGGACCCAGACCGGCGCCATGGTCAAGGACATGCAGATTCGGCTTGTCTTCTGCATCTTCTGCATCGTCTGCTCGCGTGGGGAGACTCAGCCAGGCAACGCTGAGGCCTGTTCCCGCGTGGGGTTTCGGTGCCAAAGCGGGCTCGTGGCGTCGACACGAAGGGTCCTGTGAGCCGATAAAACGTGCCTTGTGTGCTGAACGCAAGACCACTGATGGGTTTGGTCGTCACCGTCTGGCAGGTCTGTGGCTGAGGGTGCCATCGTATTGGGACCCAAGGCTGAGGTTAGCTTGAATTTGCCATAACGCCAGCATCTGACGCAGACAAGCTAGCAGTGCGCTGCTGGGCGTTTGACGTCTGTTGCTGTGCAGATGGTACCCCTTAGATGTGCGGGGATGGATCGAAGCTGTGCATCGCTAATAATTTGACCGCCTAACATGGCATCAAAATTGGTCATTGGGTCGTGGGGTATCATTCGAGGCTTCAATATTGAGTGGTACAGAACGTCCTGATGTTCAGGCGCACGCCGGATTCGGCTTCGATGAAAGCGATGAGCATGTGATGGTGTTGTAGGATGGATTGGAATGTACATGTACAGCAAGCAGGCACAGACGCGGAGATGGAAGGGACATGGTATGATGGCTGGTGGCCTGTGGCTGGTAACGGATGGCTAGATAAGGCTGGTGGCAATGGAAACACAAAGATGGTGAGTGCGCACAAGCTTGCCAGGTTTGGCCAGCTGCCTCATCGCCGGCCAGCCGGATCCACCTGCTCCGGGTAGCCGGCCGGTCAAGTATGGTACACGAGCCGGTCCCGCTCCGGATATGGTCTACCACAATGCGGACCATATCCAAGTGATTGCGGTGAAGAGTGTTGAGCTTGTGACTGTATTTAATTCACCTCCAAGCCTCTACAGACGAATACAACTTCTCTTTCTAAGAATCCCAAATATCACCAGTGCTCAGACGCCTCTCAACCGGACCGATAACTGGGAGGCCCACCAGTGCTCCTTCGTCCCAGCTCCACCCCCGTAGCACCCTCTTGTCCCTGCTCCAGCTTCGCATGATCCTGTTCTATCCTCCTCCTCATCTTGCGTGTCCCGCAGCACCAAATTGTGCTCAACAGCCCCGTGGCGATCCACAGAAGCATGTTGATGAGATTGAGCCAGATGGCCACCTTCATCCTGCCTGATGCCGGCGGGAGCCCGTCCTGTTCTTTGTATTGCCCTTCAAGATAGAGCGTTCCGAAAACACCAGTGATGGCCGCCCAGAAAACAGCAATGACCCAGTCCCAGACGCACCAGCCGTAGCGCGTCACCGGGATGAAGAGATGCAGGAGCACCGTCATCATGAAGAGCACTGCGGCCACGATGACAACGATCTTCTGTAAGCTGCGAGATGAGGAATCGTCTCGCGTATCG